TAGAAATATCGATGGGCCTAAAGATAATTCTAGTCCAGGAAGCACCACTTTATGCCCAAAATAATCTGGAGAGTTAAAGACTGTAGGCTCCTTGCAGGCAGGGACCTGCGGCCTGGGTGTTACTGTGTACACTGAATATGCTGCATTGAATCAAAGGGCCATAGCTCAGGGGTTCCTGATTCAAGATCCCGGGTTCAATATCCAGTTAGGGCTGGGAAAGTATCCTGTTTGAAATCCTAGAGAACCACTGCCAGTCAGTACAAGCATTATTGAGGTAGATGGACCAATAATCTGATTCTGTATAAGGAAGCCTTCTAGGTTCCTATGTATATACAGTTGTTGTTGTTTAGTCGTTTAGTTGTGTCCGCCTCTTCGTGACCCCCTGGACCAGAGCACGCCAGGCACTCCTGTCTTCCACTGCCTCCCGCAGTTTGGTCAAACTCATGCTGGTAGCTTCGAGAACACTGTCCCACCATCTCGTCCTCTGTCGTCCCCTTCTCCTTGTGCCCTCCATCTTTCCCAACATCAGGCTCTTTTCCAGGGAGTCTTCTCTTCTCATGAGATGGCCAAAGTCTTGGAGCCTCAGCTTCAGGATCTGTCCTTCCAGTGAGCACTCAGGGCTGAATTCCTTAAGAATGGAGAGGTTTGATCTTGCAGTCCATGGGACTCTCAAGAGTCTCCTCCAGCACCATCATTCAAAAGCATCCATTCTTAGGCAATTAAGATGCTGTCTAGGTTTGCCATCGCCTTTCTCCCAAGGAGCAGGCGTCTTTTAATTTTGTGACTGCTGTCACCATCTGCAGTGATCATGGAGCCCACGAAAGTATATACAGTAAATGACAATAACAAACATCACAATTGGAGACAGATCTGTTGGAATGTAATGTTAATGTGCTGTCTAAAATGTATAAGATGTTATTGGAATGGGAGACGAAGGATAAGCAAGTAAAATCCTCAATGATACAATGGGTAATAGATATTAGTTATAATATAGATACAGAAGCATGGGAACGGTTGTGGAACAGAGATATAAAATTCACAGCGTCTTATGGTTTATAAGAGAAAACTATATGAAAATGTTATATCGATGGTATCTAACACCGAGTAAACTGGCAAAAATGTATAAATCAAAATCGAATAAGTGTTGGAAATGCAAAAAGAAGGTACTTTTTATCCTATGTGGTGGTCTTGTGGTAAGGTTAAAGCTTACTGGGAAATGATATATAATGAATTGGAAAAGATGTTTAAAATAGCATTTGTAAAAAAATCCCCCAAAACCAGAAGCTCTCCCTTTGGGAATTATTGAGGCAGAACTACCCATACTGTATAAAAAATTATTCATGTATGTGATTACAAGAATGTTTTTTGTCCAAAAATGGAAAGAAGACATCCCAATGAAAGAAGAATGAATACAAAAATGTATGGAATATGCAGAAATGGCAAAACTTACCGGAAAAAATAAGAATTCAAGGTAACAAACTTTTATTAAAAAATGGAAATGGTTTATTGAAATATTTACAAACAAACTGCAAACAGATAAGAACATTGGCAGGATTATTGTAATACATATTTAGTATATATTTAAAGTAGATAAATAAATGAATAAGCTAAGTTAATTTGGAATATGCAGGAAATATAAAAAAATTAATTGGAGGAACCGCAGAAAGAGGAAGAAAGTCAAGTTCTGAAATGTTAGAATGATTGTAAAACTATTGTAATGTATATATATAACTGAAAATCATAAATAAAAATTATAAATATCAATAACAAGCAAAATGGGTTGGTGTAATTGTAAAGCTTTATAATTCCAAATGTGAACACTCACAGAATGACCATTAGTTCGCCTGCCGCCTTCATTATACACCTTTAGGCGCCAGGCGAAAAGATTCCTTTTCAGCCGATGCCCTTTTAAATGAGTTGTTAGAAGGGGGTGGGTTATTGGCTGGTTGGTGTCCTTATTTTTACTATGTGTTTTGCAGCTTTTATATTGTAATTTTATGTAGAGTTGGAAGGGACCTTCAGAGGTCCTTTAGTCCAACCCCCTGAAATTCAGGAATCTTTTGCCCGAGGTGGGGCTCGACCCCCCAAAACCCTGAGATTACAGTGGTGCCTCGCAAGACGAAATTAATCCGTTCCGCGAGTCTCTTCGTCTAGCGGTTTTTTCGTCTTGCGAAGCAACCCTATTAGCGGCTTAGCGCTATTAGCGGTTTAGCAGCTATTAAAGGCTTAGCGGCTTAAAGGCTATTAGCGGCTTAGCGGCTTAGAAAAAGGGGGCGGAAAGCGAAAAAAATCGCAAGACTCGCAAGACTTTTTCGTTTTGCGAAGCAAGCCCATAGGGAAATTCGTCTTGCGAAGCACATCGAAAAACGGAAAACCCTTTCATCTAGCGAGTTTTTCGTCTTGCGGGGCACCACTGTATTAATCTCATGCTCTGCCAACTGAGCTAGCAAGCTACAGTTCCCAGGAGACTTTGGGAGAAGGCACGGCTGCTTAAAGTGATACAGTCGTGCTTTAAATGCATAGTACAGGCGGGGCATTAGCTGGGTGCAACTTGGAACATGTTGAACAACCCACTAACACAACACTTTACTGCTTTTTTATTGTTATAATTATAGCGACTTGTTTAGGGTCCCTCTGGAAATGTTCTATTTACATCTCTCTCACACACACACCCTCATCCTACGCAATCTAACTGTTTGGGTGCATCTGCCGAAGAATAATGACTCAGAAAGACGAACAATTAACTTTCCTTCTCCCTTTTCTCCGTTGTTATTGTGTTCGGTTGTGTTCCGTATCGATCTGTTGTCTTAGGCTGCTTAACGCTTTGTTCAAGCCAATTGTCTCGCTTGCTAAAACTCTTAATACTGCGTGTTTGTTTAAGGGGAGGCAGGAGAAAATGAACAGCAGGATGGAGCCTTGATGACAAAGTCCCAGGACCAATTAATTCCTCCAGAAGCCCCAACACCTATTTCTCCCCCCACCCCCACTTTTTAAAATCCCATGGGCAGGAAAATGAAACAGATTTTGAGGGTAGGCCTTGCAACCAGCTAAGCTCTACCTTTAAGCCCCAGAACCTCTTGTCCCTTTCTTGGGCTCCATGATCACTGCAGATGGTGACAGCAGCCACGAAATTAAAAGACGCTTGCTTCTTGGGAGAAAAGCAACGACAAACCTAGACAGCATCTTAAAAAGCAGAGACATCACTTTGCCGACAAAGGTCCGTATAGTTCAAGCTCTGGTTTTCCCAGTAGTGATGTATGGAAGTGAGAGCTGGACCATAAAGAAGGCTGATCGCCAAAGAATTGATGCTTTTGAATTATGGTGCTGGAGGAGACTCTAGAGAGTCCCATGGACTGCAAGAAGATCAAACCTATCCATTCTGAAGGAAATCAGCCCTGAGTGCTCACTGGAAGGACAGATCCTGAAGCTGAGGCTCCAAGACTTTGGCCACCTCACGAGAAGAGAAGACTCCCTGGAAAAGACCCTGATGTTGGGAAAGATGGAGGGCACAAGGAGAAGGGGAGGACAGAGGACGAGATGGTGGGACAGTGTTCTTGAAGCTATCAGCATGGGTTTGACCAAACTGCGGGAGGCAGTGGAAGACAGGAATGCCTGGCGTGCTCTGGTCCATGGGGTGACGAAGAGTCGGACACAACTAAACGACAACAAGAAGGAAACAGATGCTGGAGCTGAACCCTAGAACCCATTGTTTAAGCCCCAGCACCCCTCCCCACCCATTTTACACAAAAGAAAATAGATTCAAGGGCTAAGCTCCATCACCCACTACTACTGCGTCACAGCCCCAGTACCTCTTTCCTCCTTTTCAAAAAAGAAAACAAGGGCAGATGTTGAATCCTGGAGCCCATTATGCCCTTGTTTGAACCCCAGCGCCTATCCTGACCTCCCCTCCCTTTCTTTTAACCCTATAGAAAAAAATAGGTGCTGGGCCTTGGAAGCCATTAAGTCCTTGTTTGAGCCCCAGCGCCTCTTTCCCCTGCCCCTTAAGCAGGGGGTGGGGGAGCTTTTCCATCCTGAGGGCCACATTCCTTTCTCGGCAGCCTTCCAGGGGCCACATGCTACTGGTGGGCGGGGCCAGTGGCAAAAGTGGGTGGAGTTTCTACACACGGCTCTGTTCTCCATCCCCGGACCTCCTTGGTATTCCTTCTCTTGAGTTGCCTTGCCTCTTCCCTGCTGCTTTATAATCCAACAGGAACAAGAAAATGGGTACGGGAGCTGAGCCCCAGAGCCTATTACCACATGTTTGAGCCCTGGCACCTCTCCCGCTTTTGTTCCCCACCCGGTAAGGAAAAAGAAAATAGGCACCGTATTTTCTTAGCCCCAGAAGCTAAAATTACCCCCATGTTTGAGTGCCAGAACCTCTCCCCTTGCTATTTGAACCCAACAACAACAAAAAGGAAATAGGTGCTGTTGTTGAACCCTGCAACATATCCCCCTTTCCTATTGTTTGGGCCCCTAACCTCTCCTCTTCCTTTTAAAAATCCAGTAAGGAAATAAAAATAAAATAGGTGCAGGGGCTGAGCCCTGGGGCCCATTTCCCTCTGTGTGTGAGCCCCAGAACCTCTATCTCTCTCCCTTTCAAAACCCAGTAGAGCGGGGAGAAATAAAGAAAATAGGTGCAGGGACTGAACCCTGGAGCCTATTTCCCTCCATGTATGAGCCCCAGAACCTTTCTCTCTCTTTCAAAACCCAATGGGGGGGGGGAGAAAATAGGTTCAGGGGCTGAGCCCTGGGGCCCATTCCCCTCCATGTGTGAGCCCCAGAACCTCTATCTCTCTCCCTTTCAAAACCCAAAAGAGGGGGGAGAAATAAAGAAAAAAGGTGCAGGGGCTGAGATCCCTTCCCAAACCATTCACGAGCCCCTTTGCTTGAGCCCCGGCACCTATCCTTCCTCGCTCTTTAGGGAAGCCTTGAACGCCGCGCCCTTTCGCCGGGTCCGCCCCGTCCGAGGCGGAGCCGGGGCCGCTTTGGCGGCGGGGCGGAGCGGGAGGCGGGTCCGGGCGAGGAGGATCCGGCCGAGGCGGGAAGGAGGGCGGCCGGCCGCCCCATCGCGGGGGGTTTGCCCGGGAGGGAGGCAGGCAGCCAGCGCTTCCCCGCAGGGCTTTCCCCGGGGATCGATCTCGCACGGAGCCTCGGCGATGGGTCCGGTGGGGCTGCAGCTGCTCTCGGGGGCCTGCCTGCTCTTCTCCCTGGGCATGTTCGGGACTGGCCTGTGAGCGCATTTTGGGGTTGGGGGCATTGGTTGTGGGGAGGGGGCAAGCCACGTCAAGGCCTGGGGGTGGGGTGGGTTCTGGTTGGGTCAGGGATGTGGGGCTGTATGGGGGGGGGAGGTGGATCTCCTGCCCTTCTTCCCCAGCAGGTGCCAGGCTCTGCCCCCGAGATAGACACGTGGGGCTCCCCCAGCGAAATACCGCCCTGTGCACGTGTGAATGCGACGTGGCGTGGAGTGTAACACGTATATCGGTGGGGCAGAGCTCCAGCGACGTGTCTCTGGGTGAGAGGTGCTGACAATAACAGTTTTATGGGGCGGACCTACCAGGAAGTGGGTTGCTATGGAGCAGGATATATGGGCAAGAGGCTCAGATTCAGGTCTTTATTATTCTAGGTGTTTTCTCTCGCTCCCAACGACTTTTTGGTTCAGTGCCACACTTATAGTTTATGTGAGTTAAGGTATGGGGTGTATTTTGATGTGGGGCAGATAGATCCAAGGATGGTGTGGGCAACACAGACTACGTACACAGTTAGAGCACACATACACACTCCAATAATCCTGGGAACTGTAGTTTGCTAAGGGCGCTGGGAATTGTAGCGCCGTGAGCGGAAACGACGTTTCCCAGAATCCTTTGGTGCAAGCGGGCGTGCTTTAAATATGAATACAAAAACGGGGTCAGCTGGCGCAGAGCTGGGTATGTGAGTGGGGGAAACGAGTGTGGGTGGATCCGACGTTGGGGTGAAGAGATGTGGGGCAGAGCGGTGGGACGGGTGATGGAGCTTTGGGCACACAGGCGCCTGGTTGTAATCAAATGGGGAACTACGTCAGCCTCCATGACGACAAGGTATCCTCTCTCGCCTCTTCTCCAGGTCTGACCTGAAGCAGATGTTTGCAACCCAGAGTGTGGAGAACATCCAGTTTCTGCCGTTCCTCACCACCGATGTCAAGTATGGCCTGGGACTCTTTGGGGGAGCTCTGCTTAACGTGGTTGTGGAACCTGTGGTCCTCCAAACGTTGATGGATTCCACCTCCAACCATCCCTGCTGGCTGCAGGGGCTGATGGGAATTGGAGTCCAACACGATCTAGAGGGCCGCAGGTTCCCCATCCCTGCTTTACACCTCTGTAGGTGCATTTAATAGGTGATCCCTGATTGGTAGGGACCACGTGTGTCTAGGACAGGGGTGGGGAGCGTGGTGGTCCTCCAAATGCTGCTGGACTCCCATCACCCCTGACCTTTGGCCATGCTGGCTGCAGGGGCTGATGGGAATTGGAGTCCAACACGATCTAAAGCAGGGATCAGCAAACTTTTTCAGCAGGGGGCCAGTCCACTGTCCCTCAGACCTTGGGGGCCGGATTATATTTTGAAAAATAAAATTAAAAATGAACGAATTCCTATACCCCACAAATAACCCAGAGATGCATTTTAAATAAAAGCACACATTCTACTCATGTAAAAACACCAGGCAGGACCCACAAATAACCCAGAGGTGCATTTTAAATAAAAGGACATATTCTACTCATGTAAAAACACGCTGATTCCCCGGACCGTCCGCAGGCCGGATTTAGGAGGCGATTGGGCCGGATCCGGCCCCTGGGCCTTAATTTGCCTACCCATGATCTAGAGGGCTGCAGGTTCCCCATCCCTACTTTACACCTCTGTAGGTGCATTTAATAGGTGATCCCTGATTGGTTGGGATTGCGCAGAGCAGGCTCCTGCTGCAGCGTGTCTTTGGGTGGTCGTTGGGCAAGTCTGCACAAGTGCAGAGGTTTACCCTTTGGGGTTGGAGCTGCAACCTGGGCGATGTAAACAAGGTTGTAGTGTGAGCTCCGCTAAAACCAGCAATTGTTCTGCACCAGATTCCACAGCCTGAATAAAGCATATTTTTCTATGGCTGCATGATTTCTTATTTTGATTGATTCATACTTTATTATTTTTTTATTAAAGATTTTCTTGATTTACAAAAGTATGTGCAATGTCTCTCGTATTTTTTTTTCATGTAACGTTAAAACATTTTTAAAAATACTTTATTCTGATTTGCTACTCATGCAAGACGCTGAATGATGATGATGGTGATAATAATAATAATAATAATAGTAATAATAATAATAATAATAATAGCAATCTGCCAGAAGATAGGAAATGAACATTTTTCTTCCCCTCTTACATTATCTTTATTATTATCATCATCATTATTAACTTCATTTGTTGCATATCTACTACAATAATGTCTTGCGGCAACGTAACAATACTGGAAAATGCATTATATTTTAGGGCATCTAAAAACAACAAGCACTCAAAATGATCCCCGGCTGTATTTCTAACCCCAACTATTGGGAATAATATTGTATTCAACAGGTCTTGCATCTGAGTAGACCTGGTTAGCGCTGTGCTGTAATTCAAAGAGCAACAGACAGAAACCCCACCTCCCTCTTACCAAGTATGCATGATTGTCCCATGAGGACTAGAGACTTGACATCTTACAAATGCAGCCTGAGGTTCTTGGGACGCAGAGATCTTGCACCTGGTAGCTTAGGCCATGCTTCTGCTGCAGGCTAACTTGAGCTCTGGGTGTACATGATTGTGATATGGCTGTTAGCAGAGATGCAGTTCCTTTGGCACCCAGACCCCTTCTGAGGTACGTCCTGTGCCAGCTACACTGTGTGATCTGGAGTTACCGGAATGGCTGTCCTCGTTAAAAGCAACAACTTTTACCTTCTCTTTCCCCATCAGTAATTTGAGCTGGCTGAGTTACGGCTTCCTGAAGGGAGACTGGACTCTCATCCTCGTCAACGCAGTGGGCGTGACGTTGCAGACTCTCTACATCTTGGTCTACTTCTACTTCAGCTCCGAGAAGGTGGGTGGGGATTGTGGCCAAAATCAGACATGTTAACCACACTGGAAGAGCCCTGCAGGATCAGGCCAAAGGCCCATCTGGTCCAGCATCTGAACCCTCTCTCCCTGAGATGCTAGCTTTTTACATACGGGGAGGACTTTCCTGGCTCGTGAGCCCTGCACCTGCTCAAGTGGTACAGTCCCAGGAAGCCTGTACCATGTGCCGTTTTGTAATGAGCGCTCCAATTGGCTCTTTCCTGGCACCCTCAAGCCTACATTCAGAGGCTGTTGACTCAAGAGGGCTGGTATCTTGAATCAACAACAGGCCACCTTTTGATGGGCCATAAATTTTCCACTGTGCTCCAGCCACGCCTGACTTACTATCCCTGGGTCACTTGCAGGGCACGGCGGAAGGATGGAGGGAGACTTCTGTATTACACACACAAAATCAGCGTTTTAACAACCAAGTGCCTTGCATGATTTTTTTAATGTATATATTTAATGTGGATAATGTATATAATTATTATTCATTGCACTTCTTAAGTCACTTTTCTGGTGAAACAATAAACTCATAGCAGCTTCCAGTAGAATACGAAAAATTGAAACCAAGCTAAAATATAGCTTGGCTGGTAGCACATGAAGACTCAAGGTCATGGGTTCGAGCCTTGCGCTGGGCAAAAATATTATTGCATTGTGGGGAAGTTGGACTAAATGGTCCCTTCCAACTTTACAATTCTATGATTCTATGAAAAGATAATAAAAGCTAACAACATGTATAGACATCAAAGGTGGTCTAACACAATACTAAAATACGCCATGATATACTGTATAAAATTTGCTAATTTAAAGAAAATTTTTTACCCGATCCTTAAAAATAACTGGTGGTGGTCCCAAGCATAACTTCCCTGGGGAGAGACATGAGCGCTTAAGGTGGTTATGCTACTGCTTTTAAGTAAAGGTTACCAGATTTTTTTCAAAGAATCCGGGGACACTTTTTTTAAAAAAGAGGGGGGGGAATTATTTTAAAAATTAGTTATTTTTCAAAAAAGAAGTAATATCTTCTCTTTTGTGGTCTCCTCTGTTGCGCGGCCTTCCTCTGGGCCCCAGCCTGCTCTCTTGGAGTGCTAGCCGCCGTGGAGTAGGCTCGGGCCGGGCCTGGGCAGTCGGTCAGGTGGCCAGGCGCTCTTGCTCCTGGCTCGATTTGGGTCGTGGGGGGGTCAGCGGTCCCCCCTGTTGACATGCCGGGTGTCCCCGGTTCTCCCGTGGTAGCGGCAGTCTCAGCAGCCCAGGGCCAGCCTGGTAGCGCAGTTGGCTCTGGCTGGCTTCAGGAGCTGCTCGCTGCCGCGGCGCCCGCCATTTTGCCTCGCCGGAAGTCCCCATATGATGTCTTGTGCCGTTGAACCAACAACATTCATTCCCTACTAATAAATCTACAACATTTAAATATAAATCCGGGGACATTAAATGAAATCCGGGGACGGATTTTGTCCGGGGACAGATTTGTAAATCTGGGGACAGTCCCCGGGGAATGGGGACATCTGGTATCCATATTTTAAGTACATGGTGCAGATGGAAGCGAGAAAATAGGATCCCGATCTTATGTAGAAGTCCGGGATGGGCAGCCTAATGGTTAGATTCCAGCTTTCATCAGCCCCAACCAGTAGGATCCGTGGTTTGGCATGATGGGAGCTGTAGGCCAGCAGTATCTTAAGGGCTATCTGTGTCCCATCCTTAGTTTAAATAAGGAATTATTTAAATAATAATAAATGGAGTAGAAGTTTAAATAGTGAGTGTTGTTGATTCCAAACAACCACCTCCTTTTCTCTTCCCTCGTCTAGCGGTCTGTGCTGTTGAAGACCATGGGCTTATTGGCAGTGCTCCTCCTCGGCTATGGTTACTTCAACCTGCTGGTTCCGGATGTTTCCGTGCGCCTGACGCGCCTGGGCCTCTTCTGCAGCCTCTTCACCATCACCATGTACCTCTCACCACTGGCTGACCTGGTATGCTACAAAAAAAAGAGATTGCCATCCTCATAAGCTAGCATATAGGAGTAATATTGCCCTCTCAACAAAGGAGACAGGATGCAGCCATTGTGGCCAGTAGCTACTGATATTCCCGTTTCCTACTGGAATCTTCCAGGCCCCTTCTCAAGCCATCTAAGTGGGCGTCCGTCGGTACATCTTGTGGGAGTGAGTTCCATAGGCACCATGTGAACCTAAGCCCATATAAGAAAGAGATTGGTTGGTAGGCCAGGCCCAAGGCCCATAATAGTGCAGTTCTCACACGATGGCTGACCAGACGCCTCAATGGGCGTTGCAGTTCTATTGCTCTACGCATTTCAGGGCGAACCAGTTTTAATTGAGGGAATTCAAAACCATCATTTAAAATCCCCAAGTTTAAAAAAAAAGGGCTGATTTGAAATTGTTAATGGAAACTCAAGATTGCCGCTGGCACACTGTATGTTTCCTGAGTGTACATTTTCAAGTTTTGGGGGTTTTTTCCACCCAGGCAAGCCAAGAGGCATGAACAGAGTTTCAAGGGCACATTTTTGCCAAGGAAAAAACACCCCAGAAGGCTGCAAAGCAGGCGTGGCCTGGTGAGAGTTCCAAGGGCCAGATAGGAATGTTTAGAGGGCCGCATTTGACCCCCAAGTCTGAAGTGTGCCCGCCCTCTGGTCATTCAGTTGACCAATTAAATATAGCATCCTGGAAACTGTTATTTGGAAGGGCTAGGATATAAACGGATTAAGGGTGTTGTTGGTTTGTTAAAAAAGAAATGAATAAGATAGGTGAATTTACGACTAAATAAGTGCCTGCCCTCAGATGGCATAGCCCTATCAGGCCTAGTCATCCCCGTGGCTTCATCCTGTGTTGCGTAACTCTCCGCTTTGGCCCCGATCCCATCCCCACCCTGCTTAGCCATCCAAAACATTTGCGCACTGCAGCTCAGGTGTCTAGCGAGGCCGCTGCCTTTTCCTGTGATGAGACAACGGCAGGACCGGAATCTTCTGGAAGCCAGGCCTGCCTGCCAAGTGGCGGCGTGGCAAGTCCTTCATTATTATTGTTTTCTTAAGGTGAAAAGGAAATGTCCTTGTTCAGAGGGAAAGAAAGAGAGAGTGAGCATTCGTGATCCTGAGAAACAGGATCAGTTGCAGGAGTTGGGTTGTTGAACGAACACACTGGTCCCAGTTCACGTGGAACTGGGAAGTGTGGTTTGGTACAGGGATCTGAGAGGAACTAAGGCCTGCAGGCCAAATCCAGCCTTTAAGAGGTTTTCGTCTTCTTTTTCTGGCCTGCATGACTTTTCCCAGACTAGATCTCCAGCTGTTGTTGGACTACAACTCCCATCATCCCTTGCTTAGCAGAACTAGTGGTCAAGGATGGTGGGAATTGTAGTCCAAAAACAAGCCAGAGACCCAAGTTTGGGAAACCCAGCTCTGGGTGTAGTGGTTAAGAGCAGTGGACTCGTAATCTGGTGAACTGGGTTCGCTTCCCTGCTCCTCCACATGCAGCTGCTGGGTGACCTTGGGCCAGTCATACTTCTCTGAAGTCTCTCAGCCCCACTCACCTCACAGAGGTGTTTGTTGTGGGGGAGGAAGGGAAAGGAGATTGTTAGCCGCTTTGAGATTCCTTCGGGTAGTGATAAAGGGGGATATCAAATCCAAACTCCTCCTCCTCTTCCTCCTTGCTGTACCCTCTCCTCGAGAGCTTTTTCCTGGCGAAAATGTGTCCTTAAATAGCAATTGCCTGCCTGCATGGGGGATGCAGGTGTGTGTGTGTCTGTGACTGACAAGAATATCACCTGCTGCACAAAGGGAAGAGTCAGACCTGATACATAAGAAGCTGCCTTATATCACGTCTATTGGTCCATCTAGGTCAGTATTGTCTACTCTGAGTGGCTGGGGAAACTCAGCCAAATGGGCAGGGTATAAATAAATTATTATTACTACTACTACTACTACTACTACTACTACTACTACTACTCCTCTGACTGGCAGCAGCTTTCCAGGGTTTCAGGTTCCGCACCAGCCCTACCTAGGGATCGAACCTGGGACTTTCAGGTCCTGCTGGCAGGTTTCCCATCGGGGCATCTGGTTGGCCACTGCGAGACTGGGATGGTGGGCCCAGGTGGAATTGGGGGTCAGGTCCAGCAGCCAGGCTCGTCTTCGGTCCTTATGGTCCGAGCAGAATTCAAAGTGTTGGTGCTGACCTTTAAAGCCCTAAACGGCCTCGGTCCTGTATACCTGAAGGAGCGTCTCCACCCCCATCATCCAGCCCGGACACTGAGGTCCAGCGCTGAGAGCCTTCTGGTGGTTCCCTCGCTGCGAGAAGCAAAGCTACAGGGAACCAGGCAGAGGGCCTTCTCGGTAGTGGCGCCCGCCCTGTGGAACGCCCTTCCACCAGATGTCAGGGCAATAAACAACTACAGTGGTACCTCGGGTTACAGATGCTTCAGGTTACAGACACCTCAGCTTACAGACTCCGCTAACCCAGAAATAGTACCTCGGGTTAAGAACTTTGCCTCAGGATGAGAACAGAAATCGCGCGTTGGCAGCGGGAGGCCCCATTAGCTAAAGTGGTACCTCAGGTTAGGAACAGTTTCAGGTTAAGAACAGACCTCCAGAACGATTTAAGTTCTTAACCCGAGGTACCACAGTATTTTACTTTTAAAAGACAACTGAAGGTGGCCCTGTTTAGGGATGTTTTTAATGTCTGACGCTGTATTGTTTTTAATACTAGATTGGAAGCCGCCCAGAGTGGCTGGGGAAACCCAGCCAGATGGGTGGGGTATAACTAATAAATAATTATTGTTATTATTATTGGTTCTGACACCTCTGAACCGGACAATTCTTTGCGTTTTCGCAGGCCAAGATCGTGAGGAGCCGCTCCACGCAGTGCCTCTCCTTTCCGCTGACGGTCACAACCTTCCTGGCTTCTGCCTCCTGGACCTTGTATGGAATTCTGCTTCAGGATGTTTACATCGCGGTGAGCAGCGCACGTTTGTGTGCGCCCGATTTTTGTGCACGTGGAGGTGGCCACAGCAGTGTCCGTTGAACGGTTGTGCCCCCGCCTCTGCCCTCTGATAAATCATGCAGCATTGATTTTAATTAATTAAATGGAGAGGCCAGTAAACCACCCTCGGCAGAGAGAAACACGAGAGCGGGTGGTGGTGATGTAATTGGATTTTTTAAAATCGGTTTTTCTCTCTCTTCCCCCCCCCACCTTCTCCTGGTTGCCCTTCACCTCGTTCCTCCCCATATCTCCCTCCCGGGTTAAGAGATTTTAAGATGCTGCCTGTCAGATTTTTGAGTCCACCGAGCGCAGTGTTGTCTGCACTGACTGGCAGCGTCTCTCCAGGGTTTCAGGCAGGGGTCTCTCTCCCAGCCGCCCGCCTGGAGAGGTGCCATTGGGGACTTTCTGCAAGCAAAGCAGATGGTCTGCCACTGACCTCCTTTCTGCCTCTTCCAGGTCCCCAACGTGCCAGGCATAGCCACCAGCCTCATCCGGTTCTGGCTCTTTTGGCGCTTCCCTCCGGATCTCAACAAAACCTACAAGTCGCTGCAGGCCTGAGGACCCAGGGGATGGGCCCTTGGCCAAGGAAGGGGGGATAGCGCTGAGTCTCGGCTGGGTGTGGCTGCTGCGTCCCAGCTCTCCTTGCGCCCTCAGGAGCCTCCCCCCCGACCATCCGGACTGCGCAAGTGGACTCCGCGCAGGAACAATTCCTTCTCCATCTTGGGCTGTTTGGTGCAGACTGAAAACCAGGGAGCCAGAGCAGGAAAAGGATGAAGGAACCAACCCACTCTCTGCTGCTTTTCCAGGGTACAACAGTGGCCCTCCGGGTGCTGCTGGACTACAACTCCCATCATCCCTGCCCATTGGCCGTGCTAGCTGATGGGAGCTGGAGTCCTGGAACATTGTTGAACTGCAACTTCCATCATCCCTGCCCACTGACTGTGCTGGCTAGGGGCTGATGGGAACGGGAGTCTGTGAACATTGTTGAACTACATCTCCCATCATCCCTTGCCCATCGGCCGTGCTGGCTGACGGGAGCTGGAGTCCTGGAACATTGTTGAACTACAACTCCCATCATCCCTGCCCATTGGCCATGCTGGCTGATGGGAGCTGGAGTCCTGGAACATTGTTGAACTACAACTCCCATCATGCCTCACCATTGGCTGGAGCTGATGGGAGTTGGGTTCCAGGAGCATCCTAACTAGCCACCCACGTTCTTCACCCTAGGCCTAGGAGGTGTAAAAATGGAGACCCCCCTGCTCCCCAAAAATAAAATGCTGGGGGCCTCCTCGCTTTAATGCATTACTTCCAGAAGGCGACTTTCTCCCCCCGTTCTGCGGACAACTGTTTCTGCCGCCCAAGCAGTGAGGACTTCACAGTTTCCGCCTCCGTCCTCCGGGAGTGCCTTTTGACCAAGTTCTCTCCCCCTGCTTTCCCCTTCGTCTCACTGCCCCACAAACACCCCCTCCGCCCCTGTCTTCTTCCCCCAGTCTCTGGAGCGATTGCTCGGCTCTGAGCTCCACAAGAGGACTTTCCTAAGAAGCTGTGACTTTCCACACAAAGTGCCTTGTAATAAACCAGGTTGTTTTCTGGGAGGAGAACGTGCCTTGCATCCTCCTTCTTTCTGTGTAGGAATCGAGGAAGCTGCCATTATACTGAGTCAGGCCAGCTGTCCATGTAGCTCAGTATTGTCTACACTGACTGGCAGCTGCTCTCCAGGGTTTCAGGCAAGGCAGTCTCTCTCTCTCTGCCAACTGGGTGCTCTGCCACTGAACTGTGGCTCTTTCCTAGAGATAAAGTAAGGTTCCAGTCCTCATGGGTTGATTGCAATAGGAACATGAGAAGCTGCCTAGCTCATTGGTCCACATAACTCAGTATTGTCTACACTGACTGGCAGCAGCTCTCCAGGGTTTCAGGCAAGGGGTCTTTTCCCAGGAGATGCCGGGGATCGAACCTGGAACCTCCTGCATGCAAAGCAGATGCTCTGCCACCGAGCTACCACCCCCTAGAAGTAAAGATCCCAGTCCTTTCTTTTATCCCAGAGAGGGCAGTTGCCTTCCCTGGAAGCATCTAATTGACCACTATAAGAATCAGGAAGCTGGACTATTCAAGCCTTTGGCCTGGTCCAACAGGGCTCTTCAGTTGGTTTGTTTATTAACAATTCAGTTCATTTGGTCCCCTGCTTCTCAGCCAAAAGGACTCCCAGAGTGGCTTACATCAGTTAAAACAAGGCAGTCCTTCCCCATAGGCTTACAACCTGAAAAACAGCAAAAGAGGAAAGAACATCAGGGAGGGAAGAGGAAAGAAAGCAAACTCAGGCGCCAACTCTCAGATAGCAATTCATACATAATGACTGGCTGGCACAGAAAGAGCCCAGGGGTAGGAGTGCCCTTTCCGCAAAGCTGGTGGAACGGCCCTGCTTCTTTCTTCATCATCATCATCATTTTTAATTTGTATACCGTCTTTCTAACAATACTCAAGGCGGTTTACAAGCTGAAGAAACAAAAAATGTACATCTTATAACAATCTAATGCAATACGAAAGTGTGATAATAAAACGTAGCTTTAAAATAGGCAACCTACATCAAAAAAGTAACATTCAACAATCATTAATAATAATAATAATTATTATTTATACCCCGCCCTCCTCAGCCAAGGCTGGGCTCAGGGCGGCATTAGAATAATATAAAATAATATCAACATATAAAAGTTAAACAGAAATCCACTCAACTGTTACAATAAATTATATCTAAACTATAAGCAATAAAATGACAAGCCACAGTACATAAAACAATACAATACACATTGAGAAGCAGAGACTAGAGGGTAGAGCAAGGCAGGTGGAAGGAGGCCTTGCCTGATGGAGTCTCTCCCCTCACAGTTCTTCCTCCAGGCATAGCTTCCTTATGAGGACTCTTGTGTCCACCACCTAGCAGGAAGTTCTCCTGAACAAGCTGTCTTGACGTGCTATGCAAGGGCATCTTCTTCCTTAGGGAACTTGGGGGGGGGGTGTCCTCCCTTTGAACGTCTCTGTCTCCCGCCCCAAAACGGGCTGATTGCAGAAGCGTTCGTAATTCTCTCTGGGAGCTTGAACCCATTTCTAGTCCCAGAGCTGTCCTGTGGTTCACAGCAGCGCCATGCCTCTGTTCACGTGCAGAGTGCGCCTCCCTTGCCAACAGGTTCTCGTGATTCAGGAGCCAAGATTTTAAGGCCAAGCATTGTGACCAGCTTCCTCGGAATATATCAAGTGTGCTGTACTCTAGGGAAAAACGCACCACACCTTCCCAGTCCTTGAAGCCACCGATATCCCCGGAAGCCAGTCATTAGTTCGCTCCTGCTAATTATCCAACTCACTTTGCCACGCCAGCTGTGCAGGTGCTAATTTTAAAATTCTAGAAAATCCTGGCTTTGGAACAAGGAGAGACCTGGCAGGGCCAGGAGGATGGGGAGGTCCCGGTTTATGGCAGAAGCTTGCCTGACGCACAGGGCAGGCTGTTCTGGACGATCGCGGCCTCGGGGGCTGCGTTTGGCACCGCGGAACAAGAAATGCAACTGTGGAGAGAGGATAACTTGAAAGAGAAATTGGGTCAACTAGCATTTTGGGCAGAGGTTGCAAGCTTCTGAGTCACACAGGATTCTTTTGCAGACTATAGAGTCCAGGAAAGAAATAGTGGGTTGTATTGAACATTGGATACCCAAGAGTAAACCCACTGAAGTTGATGGGCATGGCTAACTTGGGGGGCCCTACATCCCAATGGATCTGCTCTGAAACAGCTTCAACTTGGCTTTGAAACCTTCGCTTCAGCACAATTTTAAAGGATCCCTTTCTGCTCCAAGCCTTTGATTCCTATCATTCCATATTTTTAAAACTTGATTACAGTTGTTCTGCTGCCTTGCAGGTATCTTCGGGAGAAGAAAAGGCTAAGGAGTAAACTTAAGGAGCGGAGTCCTTAAGACAGTTGGGTGGCATCTTGTATGCCTCCTCCTGGCATCTCCTGCACCCAAGCTGGTGCCAAACATCTTGCTCTGCTTACCTTTGGACCACACCTTCGAGGCTGAGGGGGGGGGATCTTGTTGTGTGGCAGCTCAGAGCCTCCAGACCATGGGTTGGCAAACTAAGGTCTGTGGGCCGGATCAGGCCCAATTGCCTGACGGTCCAGGAATCGCCTTTCCCTCTCCCTCCCTCGGCGGTGGCGACAGCGCCGCCTCCTCCCTCCCTCCTCCTGGATTCTCCTCGCCCTGCCTAGAGAAGGAAGGGGACTGGGCTTTGTTGGTGCCAGCAGCAGCAGCAGCGCTCTAGCGGCCACCATTTTAAGTAGCCCCTCTCCGGAGCCCTTTCGCGTGCCACTCATCGTCCCACACCGCCAGCCCCCGCCGCTTGCAAGACACAGGTAAGCAGCCACTGGGGCTCATCCGGTGCTGTGGGGAAGGGAGGGGAGAGTCGGGGGGTGGCTTATAGTCTGGCCCCCCGCAAGGTCTGAGGGACAGTGGACCAGCTCCCTGCTGGAAAAGTTTGCTGACCCCTGCTCCAGACACACGGCCCAGGCTTGCGCCCCAAGGAGGTCGCTTTGGTGCTGCTAATTGTCTCTCAAGGCTTGACTCCCATTGTCTCTCAAGGCAGACAGATGTCAACAACTTTTGAGTAGAAATTAGGATGCAACCTGATGCTTGAGAAATAGTTGTAAAGCCACAGGAAGAAGCCTTGCTAGATCAAACCAGCAACCTGTTTTCACAGTGGCCAATCAGATGCTTCCAAGAAACTCTCCGTTTGGTCTTAAGTCAAGACCAGAGGTAGGCAACCTAAGGCCCGGGGGCCGGATGCGGCCCAATCGCCTTCTCAATCCGGCCTGCGGACGGTCTGGGAATCAGCGTGTTTTTACACGAGTAGAATGTGTCCTTTTATTTAAAATGCAGCTCTGGGTTATTTGTGAAGCATAGGAATTCGTTCTCCCCCCCCCAAAAAAAATAATATAGTCCGGCCCCCCACAAGGTCTGAGGGATGGTGGACCGGCCCACGGCTGAAAAAGGTTGCTGACCCTGGTCAAGACCCTCCCTCCCCGTTACTCCACAGTAATCATCCCTTTTCAGCAGCCAATCCAAAACTTCTAAAGAACCCCACAAGCGGGCACAGAAGCCACAGCCCTGACTCCCCATTCACCGTCCTTGATATTTTCTATTCAGCAGGGTATATTGCCCCTGAACCAGGAGGTTCTATTTGCCTCATCTTTAGGAGCCTTTCTGAATTGACGACTCATGCAAAACTGTATCGTGGCAGCGTATGAAAAAAGCGTTAAAAAGACCATGGAATTATAAAATCATAAAATGCAGGCCAAACGTCCCACACTGAATCAAATTAATTATCTAAAAATACCTGGCAGAACAGAAATGTTTTCAGCAGGTGACAAAATATCAGGATTACAAGCACCTTCCTGGTTTCAACAGGAACAGTCTTCCAAAGTTACGGTGCCAACAACAAAGCCTTAAGTTTGCATGGAAACTAGGCCATTTTGGGATCCAGTTATAAGGCAGAAGGAAAATTTCCACAACCACCCTACCCTAAAGGCACATGGGGAGCCACTGTGTGTATCCTTATCAGAGATCAGGTTGGGGATATCTTTATTGATTGATTTATTTCATTTATTATATCCCACCTTTTCTTCCAAGAAGCTCAAGGTGGCATACATGGTTCCCCCCCCCTCAAATCCCTTAAACAACCCTGTGAGGTAGGCTAGGCCGAGCGGCAGCGACTGGGCCAAGGTCACCCAGTGAGCTTTGTGGCCAAGTGGGCATTTGAACCCTTTTCTCTTCCTGGTCCTAGTCTCTAATTGCTACACCACCAGCGGCTCTCTTTACGTGTCAGTCCTGAAACACAAGGTGCTTAAAAAACAACAGCACCCACACCCACCACTGAGAGTTATCCAGAGCACGTACAAAGTGCTTTTCTCTCGCCCGCTTCAGTTCAGCTAACCGATCTAGCCCAGCTATCCCCAGCTAGTCTGAGGGACCCATCACCGCCTCTGTTGAAGAACACAAATGAGATTCTCTTCATCTCAGGAACCCCAATGTGCCAGCGCTGGGGAGTAGACAACCCACCAGCTTCTGCTAATGCTGAAAATAGGGCAGTGTATATTCTACAATTCAGGGGGGGAAATGTGTAATATAGGAGACACTGGTTCACAATCTTTTGCCTCACACCGGCACCTAGGCAATCCACGCCCAGCAGATTTGATTCTTTTAAAAATCCACCACCAGGCCACCAAAGAGCTCAGTCATGTTCTCTGAAATTTTATTTATTGCTCCAGATGGGGTGTTTCTTTGCACCGGGGTGCTGTGCTCAAGTCCTTGCGGCAGGGAGGGTCAGAACCGCAGTCCGCGGCGGGAGAGGTCTTCCCGGGCCTCTCGGATCTGCTCCTGCAACTCTCTCGCCGCCTCCTCGCAGTCGTTGAAGGTGGCCAAGCGGTACCCGACGACGCCCAGCGAGTAGCAGCCAAAGGCCACCAGCAGGTAGGTGGGCAGGGGCCACAGCACTTGGTGCCAGGCTGGGGGCAGCGGGTCGAGCCCCAAAAGGTTGAGAGTGAGAGCCGCCCAGACGGCGCCCAGGATAGACAGAGTCCAGAGCCACTGCAGGAGTTTCGTCATGGCGGCGCAGCTGAGCGAGCCTAGAGAAGAGGATATGTGTCAGCACTCGGGAGCAAGAGTAGGGGGCCTCTGGGCTGTGCGGCCCTCCAGACTTCTCTGCCTGGCCCTGCGGGACCTTCTGCAAGCCACACCCCTCGCCAATCCCGCTTTGCACCCTGCTTTGCTTGGCTGGTAAACCCTGGTCCCTCCCACTCTACCCAGTACGCCACACTGCCTCAAATCCACAGACAAGGCATCCATTTGGCCGCAGGCTTAATCCGTGCTGAATGGACAGTGGAGAGACGAAGTGAGAACACTAATGGCTCCCCACTCTCGTAGGAAAGGCACAGGAGCCCTGCAAGAGAGTAAAGTTGGCAGTCCCAAGCGTGCTTCCTATGCATTTAAAAGAAGGAATGGGGTAAATGCTATGATTTCTCCAATGCAATCCTCCCAGATTTCTGCAACAATTGCCCATCTCCCCCACCAACTGTCAATTTCCTCTCCTAGGCTGGAATTCCCACCTGGAATTTCCTTCCTGGTCAGCAGCGCCGCTGTATTCAGGGTTCTGCTCTTGCGCTGGGTTCCTGTGCGCGTCGCGCGCGGGGTGACGCCATCTCCCCTTCCAGCCAATCACCGCCGCCTCCGGGAGCCAGGCATTAGGCTGCGCGCCGCGCTGCATTCTGGGAGTTGTAGTTTATTCTCTCTCCCCACCCCCCCTTTGCCATTTGGAAACGTCTTTCTTTGGTTCGTAATTCCGTCCCCAGCAAAACTTCATAAACCTCTCCCGGGGCTTAATAGGGCTCCTCCCCTCCCGTCCCGGAGTTTCCTTTTCTCCAGCCTTAGGTAGGTAGGTAGATAAAAAGGGCGCCCCTGAGCATGTGCAGAGTATTAACGCGTTGCAGTCGCGTGATACGCACTTGGGACGGGAGGGGATGCCCTCTTAAGGCGAGGGATGTTGCGGAGCTGGAAAAGGTTGAGAAAACGGGGGCGCCCCTAATGATCCAGGGACTGGAGCAACGCCCCTGTGAGGGAAATTCACAACATTTGAGGCTTTTTAGGGTAGAGAAAAGGCGACTCGGGGCGGGGAAGGGGGAAGAGGCATCATACTGGGATATAAAATCATAGAATCATACGGGTTGGAAGGGATCCTGAGGGTCATCTAGCCCAACCCCCTGCAATGCAGGAATATGCAGCTGTGTGAACCTGCAGCCTTGGTGTTATCAATACAAAGCTCTAACCAACAGAGCTATCCAGGCTGGGGAGAAAGTCGATGGAGAAATCCGCTGCACCGCTTCCCTCTCTTGCAATAAAGTCCTGGTACCCAGGATCATCCAAAGAAGAAGAATGTGGGCAGGTTCAGGGCAAGTAAAAAGGGAAAGACTTCTGCAAAAAGCCAGTAGTTTATTTTACATTTATTTATTTACTTGATGCATTTATATTCCACCTTCATTTTTCTCCAAGGAGCTCAAGGTGGCCTGCATGGCTCTCCCAAATCCTCATTTAATTCCCTTGAGGAAGGGCAGGGACTGCTTCCCGACGTTATGGCCAGTGAACTTCGTACAGCCAAGTAGGGATTTGAACCCAGGCCTCTCCCAGATCTTAGACCTGGGACCCTAAACACTACACCACCGGCTCTAAACTATGGGACTCGTTCCCACGAGAGGCATTGATGGTGGCCACTGACTTCTCACTTGGAGGGCTTTAAAAGAGAATTAGACAAATTCAGCAGGGAGAGGGGTTTGGTTTAAAAGTCACTCTCTTTTCCCATGGGAATCTGGGAATTGTAGCTCCCTCTGTAAGGGGGGGGGGCGTCCCCTAACAACTCTACTTGCCAGAGTTCTTGGGGGGAGCCATGTCTGTTTAAAGTGGTATGGTACTGCTTTAAATGTGTACTCCAGAGGGGCGTCTAATTGGATAGGATCCTCTACATGAAATCTTTTATACAGTGGTACCTCGGGTTAAGTACTTAATTTGTTCCGGAGGTCCGTTCTTAACCTGAAACTGTTCTTAACCTGAAGCACCACTTTAGCTAATGGGGCCTCCTGCTGCCGATGTGCCGCCAGAGCACGATTTCTGTTCTCATCCAGAAGCAAAATACTTAATACGAGGTACTATTTCTGGGTTAGCGGAGTCTGTAACCTGAAGCGTATGTAACCCGAGGTACCACTGTAATTTCAAAAGCTTTTATAAACGGCCTTGGTCCTGTATACCTGAAGGAGCGTCTCCACCCCCATCGTCCAGCCCGGACACTGAGATCCATCGCCGAGTGCCTTCTGGCGGTTCCCTCATTGCGAGAAGTGAGGTTACAGGGAACCAGACAGAGGGCCTTCTCGGTAGTGGCACCCGCCCTGGGGAACACCTTCCCTTCAGATGTGAAGGAAATAAGCAGCTATCTTCTTTTTAAAAGACATCTGAAGGCAGCCCTGTTTAGGGAAGTTTTTAATATTTAATGCTGTATTGTTTTTAACACTTGATTTGGAGCTGCCCAGAGTGGCTGGGGAAACTCAGCCAGATGGGCAGGGTATAAATAATAAATTATTATTATATATATTATTATGATTATAAACTGCTTAATATTTTGTTTAAAAATCTCTTTAAGCGGCGTACAACATAAAATAAATAATCCAATGTCAGCTGTGCTGAGACGAGGCCCATTGTAAAGAACGGGGATGACAAACTTTGAGTCATTAGTGTGCTTGGAGGTCCCAGCCCTTGTCAAAAGTATCAAATTATATGTATTTTTCTCCATTATAGCTGTGTTCCAGAGTGAGCAGTACCAAGTGTTCAGTGTAAGATTTTGGGCTGTTTTCCACTGAGCTGCAATTACTATTTGCACTGCAAAGTTCTTATATAAGACCAGTCCTTTTGACAGTATGGTACCGTCAAAAATATTCAGCAACGTTAATTTTGGGCAGCAAACGATAGTTCCTTTCGTGATATTTATCCTTTCTGTCGAAATAAAAAAAAAAAAGCCTGTCTCGTTCAAAAACCAAAACATCGCAGACAAATCCAGCAAAACACAAAATACAATAAACAAGAGCATGTAAAAAGCAGGAGTTTGGGGAATTCAAAGAAATTAAAACAAGGCAAACCAGGGCAGGGCTCCTGTTCGCTTGCGCCTCCTGCCTGGATCGGTGCCCGGCTGGGTACGAACTCTGAACTTCCCTGACCGCTGATGTCAGAATGGGGACCCTGGTCAAGAGCCTTGTTTCGCGTGTGGCTTAGACCAGTGGGAACCTCTGAGCGGCTGGTTCCCAGTGCCCGGCTCCCCACTCTGACATCACAAAGGAAGGCGGAGGGAAGTGGCTTATAATCGGTGCCAGGCTGCAAGCACGCAGCCAGGAGCAGGCAGCCGAACCCCCTCTGAGCTCCCAACCCAGTTCCTGTCTCAGCACAGCCCGGGGCCCACGAAACTTGGCACCCAAGTGGGGCATGGAGGTGGATTAATTGGTGGCAGAGGAACAGAGGAAGTTGCCCGAGACTCAGTCGGGGCATCTAGCCTGGCAGTGTCTGCAACAGGAGCAGGGGAAAGCCGTGACCCTCCAGATGTTGCGGGACTTCAGCTCCCACATTCCCCGGACATGCTGACTATACGTTTAAAGTGGTATCATAGAATCATTGTAGAGTTGGAAGGGACCCCGAGGGTCATCTAGTCCAACCCCCTGAAATGCAGGAATCTCAGCTAAATAATAATAATAATAATAATAATAATAATAATAATAAATGTTATTTATACCCCACCCTCCCCAGCCTAGACCGGGCTCAGGGCGGCCAACACCCGATATAAAAACAAATTGATTGAAATACAACTTAAAAACAAGATTAAAATACAACATTAAAACATTGAAGTACAGCCTCATTTCAATGGAAACTCAAATCAAAAACTTTTTTTGGATGAAAACGTCAAGCATCCAGGACAGCTTAAGCCATCCAACCTCTGCTTAAAAACCTCCAAGGAAGGAGAGTTCACCACCTCCCGAGGGAGACCGTTCCCCTTTTGAACAGCTCTTGCTGTCAGGAAGTTCTTCCTGATGTTTAGTCGGAATCTCCTTTCTTGAAACGTGAAGTCAAGGGTTCGAGTCCTGCCCTCCAGAGCAGGAGAAAACAAGCTTTCTCCATGAGGCAGCCCTTGAGATATTTGAAGATGGCTATCATCTCCTCTCAGTCTCCTCTTCTCCAGGCTAAACATACACAGCTCCTTCAACCGTTCCTCATCCGGCTTGGTTTCCAGACCCTCTTGGTTGCCCTCCTCTGCACACCTTCCAGCTTGTCAACATCCTTCCTAAACTGTGCTGCCCAGAAATGGACGCAGTATTCCAGGTGTGGTCTGACTAAGGCAGAATCAGTATCAGACCACTTTAAACAGTTGTGGCTTCCCCCAAAGAATCCTGGGAAATTGTGTTTTGTTAAGGGTGCTGTAAGTTCTTTGGAGTCCCCCACTATCCCCCCTCACAGAACTACATTTACCAGAGTGGTGTAACAACCAATTATCCTTTTCCCCGGGAAACTCTGGGAATTGTAGCTCTGTGAGGAGGAATGGGGGGTGTCTCCTGGCAACTCTCAGCACCCTTAAACTACAGTTCCCAGAATTCTTTGGGGGTGGTACTGTTTAAAGTGGTAGGTAAAGGGACCCCTGACCATTAGGACCAGTCGCAGACAACTCTGGGGTTGCGGCGCTCATCTCGCTTTACTGGCCGAGGGAGCCGGCGTACAGCTTCCGGGTCATGTGGCTAGCATGACTAAGCCGCTTCTGGCGAACCAGAGCAGAGCACGGAAACGCCGTTTACCTTCCCACTGGAGTGGTACCTATTTATCTACCTGCACTTTGACGTGCTTTCGAACTGCTAGGTTGGCAGGAGCTGGGACCGAGCAACAGGAGCTCACCCCGTCGCGGGGATTTGAACCGCCGACCTTCTGATCGGCAAGCCCTAGGCTCTGTGGTTTAGACCACAGCGCCACCCGCGTCCCTGTGGTAGGACATGGATTTAAAAGAATTATGCACATGAAATTTATGGGCTTAAGTTAGGCATGGGTCTGGATTTCTGTAGGTCTACTCTGAGCAGGGTTTAGTTGGCTACAGCTCAGACTTTTTACCTCTGCCACAAACAGAGCCACCTCACCTTCTCCACAAACTGTGCCTGATTCCAAGAATCAACTGGAGAGGAAGCAGTGATTTGTTTTATTCTCCTCTCGGTGGCTCTTTGGAAGAATCGAGGCGGCTTTTGGCAGGAAGCATCTGTCTTCCTCCGTGTCCGGCCGAGGCTGGGATTCGGACGATAGCTGAAGGAAATGTTGGCGAAGTGTGAGACTCAGGATGGAGATCGTGGGAGGCCTTTGAATTGAAGCAGACGGATCTGTCAACACCACCTAACTAGTACACTCATGGCTTTCAAGAAAACAAGTGGGTTGCTGCTGCAACAAAATGTTGCAGCGTGGGGAGTTTTCGTTCCAGACCAGGTAGGGCTTTCCCTCAGAAAGCTCTCCCTAATGTTGAGTCAAAATCTCCTTTCATCCATTGATTTTAGTCCTGCCCTTTGGAGCAGGGGAAAGCAAGCAAACTCCATCTTCAGATATTAGAAGATGGCTTTCCCATCAGGGGTCAAGGAAATAAACAACTACCTGGCTTTTAGAAAACATCTGATGTTTTTAAAGTTTGATGTTTTATTGTGTTTTTAATATTCTGTTGGGAGCCGCCCAGAGTGGCTGGGTAAGCCTAGGCAGATGGGCGAGGTATAAGCAATAAATTATCATTATCATCATCATCACCCAGTGCTATTTTTCCAGAAAAAAGGGTGCCAGAGCTCACAATGAACTTCTCCCTTGTTCTCTTAGAATGGCAATGGCGCCCACCTGAGAGGTGCCGGAGCTCATAGTTTTAAAAAAAGCCCTGATATCGCCTCTCCTTCTCCATACCCAACTTTCTCCACCATTCCTCAGAAAGCTAGGTTTTCAGACCCAGCCAATCCCTCTTCACGGCGATCACTGGGACTTATAGCTCTCAGAGCGGAATAGGAGACCTCCCTAACTCGCAGCGCCCTCAACAAACTACAGTTCCCAGAATTCTTTGGGGGGGTGATGACCGCTCAAAGTGGAGCGGTATGGAGCCCAAGTTGGTTCAGTTAATAAATTTGTGCCGTGTGAAGAAGGATTTTTTTGGCAGTTCTGAACCACCTCACTAATCGGTTTCATTGGCACAGTCCTGTTTCAGCAGAAGGCAGAACCCGGCTTTCATCTGAGCATACACAAACTGCCAGGT